CTCACCAACGTGAACACAGCACTGCAGGCTGTGAGACACGCCATGGCGACACGTGTACTGTCAGGCTATAATTTCAACCTGGAATAAAACTGAATACTCTATCTTTTCTAAGAGGACATGTTATGCTTAAAGAAAATGTAAGACTAACACCAGGAACATGATTCGATTTTCCTGATGCTAACACATGGGCAGCATTTTCCTATTTTGTTTGGTAAAGAATTTGAGTTGCTTCTAAATTTATGCTGAAACCCATTGGATGCTTTCTGAGGCCGAGACCAGCAGCTCCACTTGTTCAGGGAGTTGTATTTACAATACCTGCTGTTCCTATATGTCCATTAGAATGCAATTATCCTGCTTGGGGGAAAATAAAGGTCACTGGGTTAATGGAGCTCACCTTCTTTTTTAGCTCATAAATAATACATCAAATATAATATTTAAAAAGAAAACCACATCCCGCATAGCATTGTGTTTCTATTGCTTTCCTCACAGAACATTTGAGTACATGGCACTTACTATGGCCATAATCGCTGCAGCCCATCAAGTTCCTATAGCACTGGTTGAGACAAGAAATACTCAGCATGCATCTATTAAATTGATAGTCATAAAAACTCAAATGTTCAAGAAATTTCTCATGACATTTTCTTTTTAAAAAAATACATTTTATTGATTTTTTACAGAGAGGAAGGGAGAGGGACAAAGAGTTAGAAACATCGATCAGCTGCCTCTTGCACACCCCTTACTGGGGATGTGCCCACAACCAAAGTATATGCCCTTGACTGGAATCAAACCTGGGACCCTTCAGTCCGCAGGCCAACGCTCTATCCACTGAGCCAAACCAGTTAGGGCCTCATGACATTTTCAAGGTAGACTATAGTACATTCTACTCTGACTGTAAGGAGCAACTCACAAAATTATTTATACTAGCAAATATACAGAAAACCTATGGGCTTTATCAAAGTATTGGCAAAGATATGCATTTAAAATTTTTTAAACAAATGCGTACAGATTCAAGCACATTCCGTTGCTTCCAGAATGACTTACCAACAGTACTTGTAAGGAGACAGTCTTTACGACCGCCCCAATAATAATAAATATTTCTAGGCAAGAATCTGCTGCCACTAGTTCCCTAATGACAAAATGAAGACATTCCTGCCAGCTAAATAGCTGAATATGGCTCTCAGCCCAAAAAAGAGCCTAATCAATGTTTTCACTTCAGGCTTCCCAAGGGAACAACTAAGCAATCGCTCCAGTACCTGGCACATCAAGATTTATAAGGCAAAATAGGAACAGATGGCCTAAATAGCTTCAGAAAGCTATTTGTCTAGAAAAACTAAAACAAAAACAAAAACAAAAACCCACAAAAATGAAACAAAAACAGAGCATCTGCTACTATATCACTATATCACTCTGCCCCTAAAAATAAGGCTGCATGTCTCATGAGATTTACCTAAGAAATATTTTTTGAAATAAAAAGGGAGTTATAGTATACCTCCGAGCCTATTATAACAACTGTTAAACACTTATAAATAACTCAAAATAATGAAAATGAAAAAATCAGCTTTCCACTTGACGCAGGCTTATGTGACAAACTGCACCACAATCACCCAACAACAGAACCACACACAGCTTCTGCCTCCTCGTTACGAGTTTCCGCAGTAACCCAGCACAGCCCTGTGAAAGGCATATCAACGGACTTATAAACCCAGCAATGAACCAGACAACTGATTTCCTAAATAACACAGCAATGGTACTCCCAATTGTTTCAAAAGTTTATTCGAAGGGCATGTATCTGTCATCAACAGCCTATCATTATTTGTTTTTATCATCATTAATAGCAAAAGAGGTTGTTCTGCCAGGCACTGATCTAGCAGTTTTATGTCAGTTACCTAACTTAATACTTGAAAAAAAAAATCCTATGGTCTGTGAAGGGTGGCAAAATATACCACCCCAAAATATGCCACTTTGGCATAAGGATTATTTTGAGCTAAAGAAACCTAAAAACAACAACAACAAAAAACAGTGCATTCAAGAGGAGCATTCTAATCTCCCCTTTTCTTCTTGAAAACAAGAGATTAAAAACTCCCTCGTGAAAGATGCCCTCTCTGTACCAGAGAAAAGAAACATTTTTCAATGAAGAGTCAAAGCTGAGAGAATTCTATAAAAAACAGAACTTGTTAAAATAATTTGTATCTTCCTTTAGCCTCCTCATATATTTTAGCTACTTTTCCACAATCACCTCTTTTCATTTCCTTATGAGGACTCTTGTGTCACATAAAACTTATCTACATTTGTAAGCTTTTCTCTTGTTAATCTGTTCTATGTCAGTTTCATTTCCAGGCACAGCCAAAACACCCTAAGAGGGTAGAGGAAAAAGTCTGCCTCCCCTATATCTGTGATAATTTGTTATCTAATTAAGACTGTAGATCCATCAGCACAAAGCACTAACACTATTTATTTAATTTTTTAAATATATTTTATTGGTTTTTCACAGAGAAGAAGAGAGAGGGATAGAGAATTAGAAACATCGATGAGAGAGAATCATCGATCAGCTGCCTCCTGCACATCCCCCACTGGGGATGTGCCTGCAACCAAAGTACATGCCCCTGACTGGAATCGAACCCGGGACCTTTCAGTCCACAGGCCGACGCTCTATCCACTGAGCCAAACCAGCTTCGGCTAACTAATACTATTTAAATATAGACACTGATGAGGAAAAACCAAGATGGCAACATAAGGTAAACACCTAAATGTAGCCTACCACAACAATTTTAAAATTACAACTGGAAAACAAAGTGGGCATCGTCCCGAAACACCAGAAAGCTGGCTGAGTGGAAGCTCTACCAACTAGAAAAAAAAGAGAAAAGGACGCTGAGCCTCAGAAGCTGTGGAGGTGCAGAGATCCGTGAGCGTGGAAAGGGCAGGTAGTTAAATACGCCACTGGCTTAATTGCAGCATGCGAGTGGGCAGCTAATGCGCGGTGAGCTTTCTCTTTGGTGAGGAAAACAAAACCCCCCAATTGCACTGATATCCAGTTCTGGTTAGGGAGAAATTGGACTGTCTGGCGAAACTCGAGAGCAACCTTCTCTCAGAGCAGCGTGTGGCCAGCAGCCATTGCCGAGGGACTCTGAGAACAGGACACTCTTAGGGTGGGGCTGACGGGAAACCAAAGCTAGTCTGCACCACCCTGAGACTCTGCCCCATCCAAGCTGAGCACAGAACTTTCCTAGTGGAGACACTGCTAATCATCACAGCCATTTGGCTTGGAGATCAACTCTCCCCATTTGTGATACCAACAACAAGCAAAGCTTAACTACAACAAGACTGCACATACAGCCCACAAAGGGTCCACCACAGGGAACTGGGGAGGCTGAGCTACTGGGCCCTGCTAGGACACCTAGCACACAAAGCCACTCCATCAATTCAGGGAAGCAGCTAAAATGCGGAGACAAAGAGGCAGGCCTCAATTGAAGAAAATGGATGAAAGCAAAAGGCTGGATATAGAGTTCAAAACCACAGTTATAAGGTTTTTCAAGAATTTCCTAGAAAAAGCCAATAAATTAAAAGAGACCCTTGAGGATATGAAAAGGGATCAACTAAAAATTAAGCATACACTGACTGAAATAAAAAATATTATACAGAGACCTAAAAGCAGACTAGAAGATCGCAAGAATCAAGTCAAAGATTTGGAATACCAAGAAGCAAAAAACAATCCTCTGGAAAAGCAAAAAGCAAATAGAATACAAAAAGTTGAAGATAATATGAGAAGCCTCTGGGACAAGTTCAAGCGAACCAACATCAGAATTATGCGGGTGCCAGAAGAAGAGAGAGAGCAAGATACTGAAAACCTATTTGAAGAAATAGTGACAGAAAACTTCCCCCACCTAGTGAAAGAAATAGACTTACAAGTCCAGGAAACACACAGAATCCCAAAGAAAAGGAATCCAAAGAGGACCACACCAAGACACATCATAATTAAAATTCCAAGAGCAAAAGACAAAGAGAGAATATTAAATGCAGCAAGAGAAAAGCAGTTAGTTACCTATAAAGAAGCACCCATATGATTGTCAGCTGATTTCTCAACCGAAACCATGCAGGCCAGACGGGAATGGCAAGAAATATTCAAAGTGATGAATAGCAAGAACCTACAACCAAGATTACTCTACCCAGCAAAGCTATCATTCAGAATTGAAGGCCAGATAAAGAGCTTCACAAATTAAAAAAAAAAAAAAAAAAAAAAAAAGGAAAAGGAGTTCATCACCACCAAACCAGAATTCTATGAAATGCTGAGAGGTAATCTTTAAAAAAAAAAAAAGGACAAAAAAAGATAAAAATCAGGACAACAAATACGTAACTATCAACAAGTGAATCTATTGTAAAAACCAAGGGAATAAAAAATGTGATGAACAGTATTAATTGGTGAATATAATAGAATCAGGGGTATAGAAAGGGAGTGGACTGACAATTCTCAGGGAAAAGGAGAGTGGGAGGTGCGGGAAGAGACTGAACAAAAATCGTACACCTATGGGTGAGGACAGTGGGGAAGGGGAAGGGCAGAAGGTGGGGTAGGAACCTGGTGGAGGGGAGCTATGGAGGAACAATTGTAATAATCTGAACAATAAAGATTTGTTAAATTAAAAATAAATAAAATAAATAAATAGAGACACTTATTTTCCTTAGTGTTTATTCTCATTGTAAATATTTTTGTCTTTGAGCCCTGCCGGTGTTGCTCAGTGGTTGAGCATCCACCCATGAACCAAGAGGTAACCAGATCAATTCCTGGTCAAGGCACATGCCTGGGTTGTGGGCTCAATTCGCAGTAGGAGGCAGCTGATTGATGCTTTTCTCTTTCCGTGATGTTTCTCTCTATCTTTCTCCCTTCCTCTCTTTCTAAAATCAATAAAAACATATTTAAAAAATATTTTTGGCTTTAAAATGTATCTGGGCTCCCCAGAAAGGTTTCCTTAAAATATTAATTTTACTAAATATTATCAGATACTTACTTCTTTACTTATTACAAGAACCTTTACATCTGTTTTACAAAAAAATGAAGCAGGCCGATTTGCATTAGTTAAAAGGCAGGTTTCCTGAAAAATAGAAACAAATGGATTTCTTCAGGAATTATTTCAGCTCTGATGTTATTATTACAATGAAATTCTGGTACCATTGGAATTATAAGTATGCATCCAACTCTCACTGGGATTATAAGTATGTATCATTTTAAGCAAATAATTAAAAAAATAAATCTTGAGCAATAAAAAGCAATTGGAATTGATAAATAAGGACTGTCCTGATCTTACTTTCACATAATCTATCAGTCCCAGCAGCATTAAATGTAAGGGCTATTTTATAAAAACAGAATGCAGGGCTGAACAAGTCTTTATTCTGGAATACTTGCTATATTAAAACAACAGCATAATCTGCAAACACACAAAATGCTGTATGTTAACTCCACTCACCATTTATTACTTAAGAGAAAAGGGTGCTTTGTCCTACAGATGGCAAACTTGGAGTGGATGCTGACCTAAAACCATGAGGCTCAATGAGGGGTATGGTGTGAGTATAACCAAATACAAAATTATAACAAATTTTAGTGATTATAATATTGAAAAAGGTGTAGTAATAAAGAATCAAGGTGAGATTATCTTATTGAAGGAGGATAACATGACTTTAACATCTCTCTTTGCTTGCGATGGGACATCCATCTTATGCAACCCTTGGAAATAGGCACTCCTGGTTCTTGGGCCTTTGGACTTGGACTGAATTATATCTATGGCTTCCCTGTTTCTCTAGCTTGCAGACAGCAGGTTGTGGGACTTCTCTGCCTCTAATTCCTACAATATATCTCCTCTTACATATATCTGTATATTTCCTATTGGTTCTGCTTCCCCAGAGAACCCTATACAGATTTTGGTTGAGAAATACCAGTTCAGATGACCTCCAAATTTCTTCCTTTTAGTTAAAAAATAAACAAACATCAGTGGCTCCATTTGATCTGCTCACAGTTCAGGCAGCATGGCAGAGTAAACAGAGCACTGATTCAGGATTCTCCTTCATTTCTGCCACCAACTAGCTGTCTCAAGAGGAGCAATTCAGCTAACTGCTCTGGTTCTCCATCCACAAAGGTAGAGTGAAAGAGTTTGTTTAGCTGACCTCTGAAGCTCCATCCAACATTAAGGTGCTGATCCTGGGGAAGATCTTGATGTACAAAGGGCCAAAGGCTCTAAGTAAAAGTGCTTCCAGAGTGCCTCCAGCACTAGAACACTCAGCCAGTCACAGGCCAGCCAACATCTTAACCAAGGCTCAATCTATCAAGACATATTTGACCCACCAGAGAGGGTACATAATTAACAGAGGGAAGGCCGTGGAGAAAGGTTTGCTTTTCATTAAAAATCATTAGGAATACTTCTTTGTCCTTTGACTTCTCATTGGATTTGTTATCAATAAAATATATTGAATCCATCTCCTATTTGGTATTCCCATAGCCAGTGCCTTGCTTCAGAGTCTGCTCATCAATTTCCCACTGGCTCCATTTCCATGTTGTCCTATCCCTACTAACATAGCCCACCTATGTTAACATTCAGTAGATGATTCATCACATTATTCACTTGTCTAAATGTTAACCTGACTCATCTCCCTCTGACTTAAAACATTTCAACGAACTCTATTACCTATAGAATTAAGTCCAAACTCTTCATCATGGTTTTCAAAACCATATTAGACCTCAGCTGACATTTTCAAAATAAACGCCAGCAACTGTTCTCACCTCCAAGACCTCCACACTTAGGTAGTTTTGGATCCGAGGATCTTCAAATCAAATCTGTCCTCAACTAAATAAGAAATGAAGCAAGTTGTATTCTTACACACAAGCTGCTTTCTGCCCTAAATTTTATCCCTTTTGCACAAAGTATTTTACAAAAACAGACTTCCTTTAAAGAATTAAAAATATCTCCTTGAATCAGTAACTCTTTCGGTACACTTTTTAAAAAATACCAGCCTCCAAAGCTATAGGGTTTGTAACTCATTCATTTAATGGGCAATCATTCATATAGCAATCACTTATAAATCTTGCAGGTCCTGAATGTTGGCAAACTACATATCAGGCTACATGTCAGCTCTACACTGTTATAAAAAATATGCATTCTTTAAGCATTTCTATTACTGAAATATTTCATACTTGAGGATAATGTTATTTTAGTACAATGACACATAACTTAAATTTTTTTAAATAAAAATGGTAAGAGACTGAGAAATTAAGACAGTATTTACCCCTATGAAGTCACCTTCTTCAAACTCACTTAAAATGTCAGAGTTGGTATTTCTGTTCATGCTTGTATTACTTGACATGACCTTTAACTGTCCAGCAAGAATCAGGTAGCATTCAAGTGGTACATGTCCTTGTCTTAGAAGCATACTTCCAGCTTCAAATCTGGAGAGAAAGAATATTAAACACATTTCTCCTGCAAAATGGCAAGTTTGAAGTCATCATTGGCAAACAAAATGCTGTCATCTTCACCTGTAAAGAATTTTTATTTTTGTTCAGAAGCAATTATCTTCTTCTGGTATAGACCTTGAGGCAAGGATGGGAGCCAACCTGTTCACTGCCATGGCAGCGGTGCCGAGAATGGCACTTGGCCCATAAACTACGTCTTCAATGAATACATATGGAGTGGATCAGGAAGAGGCAGAGGGAGGTGTTGCACAATCACAGAACAGAAGGTCTCCATACAAATGAGTTCCTTAGATGAACCCTGTTTTCGCAAAACAGAGGCATTTTTAAAACACTTCTGCTGAATTCCTGATGTGAGGCAAGGTTTTTGGTTTTCTGGGAGACAAATTTGGTATTGATTAGTGTTTCTTTGATCAAGACTTTTTAAAAATACTTAAGTCCTCGCTTTTTAAAAAATTCATTTTACCATTTTATTTTCTTACATAAATATAACGCCTTCAAAAGGTTCTTGGAACTGTGGCAAAATGATTTATAAAAAAAACCCACCTTTACCATAGGCTAATTGACATAAACAAGAGTTAAGTTCCTATGGCATCTCAGCACCATTATAACAAATGACATTGAACAAAACAAGGTTATTTGAGGATGTGCTGTATTATACTCAGGAAAAGTTTTGTAAATCTGCTCCTTTTCCCTGTTTGTAGATATTGAGCCAGAGGACAGGAGTTTTCCCACTCCAAGTTTATAGAAACAACCATCCCTGGTAGTAATGCATAATAAACTTTAATGAACATTAAAAAAAAATCACTTCGGGCATTTGATAAAAAGATCAAGATTCCTTTATACCCTGGAAATTCTGGTTTGGTAGATCTGGAGTGGAGCCTAGGCATCTGTCTTCTTAAAAGGATCTCCAGATTATTTTGATAAGAACCACGCTTTGAGAAACATTGTATTTGAGACCAAGAACAAGCATTATTTACTTTCTTTTACTTACACGAGTAATTTTGTGAAGACTGGAACTGGGCATGTTCCATGAAATATTAGGAAGTCTGGATAACTTTAGAGTTTCATTTAATTACTACCCAGAATTCTTTCTTCCTAGAAGAATAAGAGTTATAATATCTATATTCCAAATTAGGCAGGAGTCATTAAAGAGAACGGTAGTGAGAAAGATGACAGTGTTATGTATTAAAGATACTCCCATCCCTGTGTTATCAGTGAGGAGGCCTGAACTCCAGCACTTGACATGGTATGAATCAATTAAATGATTTTAAGAAAATTGCTTACCTTCTATTATACTTCCAATTCTTTACCTATAAAATGGGAATGAATCTGTACCTACCACATACTTCATAATAATGTTTTAGAAGAAAATATGAAATATATTTAAATTATTCAAAGGGAAGATATTTATAAATAAAGTATTGGGATTTTGCCCTGTTTTAAGAAGTTTGACAATGTGAAGGAGAATTAGAAGCAGCACAGCTCCCCCCAAAATAACTATTCAAAGTAATAACCAAGTCTTCCACAGTTCCATGGAAGTTCTTATAAGAGAAGACATGAAACTCTTGAGTCAGAGACTCAAAAAGTATAACAGGAATATCAAGTGAATCAGTTGGGTGCCAGATGCCCATTATACTAATTGGATCACCAGCCTCCTCTGTAATTCATTGGACAAGGATTCCAGGGCTACCCATTGCTTCTGAAGCATTAAAATTTAAGAATATCACCCATACAATAAACCATTAAATATTCACAGGAGCCTGTACTCTAGTGTTAAATTGCAAAAGTATAACGGTAATCTCAGCATGGTTGCACCAGTCCCGAAGTCCCACGGAGCAATAGGGTGGCCCAGGGGAGTCTGCTTATGCAGTGGGGTAAGCCACAAGGGAAGAGCCAGAGCTTAGGGCATCCACTGCTTTTACAATAAGCAGTAAGTGAGCTGTCTGTCTGGAAGGAGACCAGGTACAGTATAATGTGTTAGTGTCTCAGGATTCCCAGTGGCATGAACAATCCTGAGGAGTGGCAGGGGTGGAGGCAGTGGGAGGAGGGGGTGGAGGAGGGAAGACCAGCCAAAGCCTTGAGATTTGGGCACATTCAGCAAGATGTATATGAGCACAAAAGGCTCCTCACAGATTGCATCTCAGGACACTGGGCTTATTAATGAAAATGAATAGAATTTTAAAATAAGGTTCTTCAGTTAACTTAAAGAATTATAATTCCAGTTCCAAAGGAAGAATATGTAAAAAGGAAATTTAACATTACTATCTTTCCTGCCTTTGGGAAGAGAATCACAGATTAAAATGTGACGACTCCTGATTTTCCACTATTTATGTTCATAGATACCAAATTTTCAAAACCATTTCTTTTACTCTGAAGAATTACAACATCATTAAAAATTGCTGAAGTAGGAGGAGGTAAGATGGCGGAAGAATAGATGGGCGGATTCTGAGCCCTCTCCCGAAGCAGAAAGAGAGAGCAACTGAGGGTCTTGTGCTGTGAGTGTTTATCGGCAAGCTGGGAGACAGTGAACACCAGTAGAAACTGCTGGGGGGCTGCTGACAGAGGTGCCCCTCACAGGGAAGCACCCACGAGAGCTGTGTCCCTGCCAGGAGCTCCCTACCGGCTTGGACAGGGAAACCTCGCCATTTTGAGAGGAAGATAGGATCGTGTCAGAGGCCTGAATATCCACAGCCGCAGCGACCACCAAGCATCTGTGACCCCCAGAACGCGGATCCCAGGCAGCGCAAACACCTGCCCTCATAGGATTGCCCCACTGCTCAGCGAAAAGGTCAGATTTCGCGGGGAGAGGGTGGAGAATGCTCGCGGCGAAAACAAAAAGCCTGCGCGCACAGAGCGCACTCGCAGAAGCTGGAGGACAAGGGCGGTGATTACAAGTAGAAGCCCCCCGCTGTTGGGCTGTTGTCACCCTTGAAAGAGGACGGGGCTCCTAACAGGGGAGATATCTAAAGAGCAACACATTTGGATCCGGCTCGGAGGGATATCGGAGAGTTGAGGGAGATTCCAGTTGCTCGGACCTGCCCCCTCCCCCCCTCCATAGTTCCAGCTTCAGAGAGGACAAAAAAAAAAAAAAAAAAAAAAAAAAAGCTGGAGAGGCTCTCAACCTAGAAACACTGCCCCCAGAGGCTAATTCACAAATTGACTCTAGTGTAATAAAAACAAAGCAAAACCTGCCTAAAAATCAGGACTGGATCATAACAATAGAGGAAGCGAATGACCTTCATTACTGCAAATTTTAATTAAATTTTTTAAATTTTATTATTATTATTTTTTTAAATTTTTGTTTTCATTATTTGCAACGTTTACTCAAGAAACTATTTTTTTTCTTTTTCCTCACTTGATTTTATCTTGATAATTATTACATTGTATATGTAATCAACATTATTACTACTACTAATTTACCTTTTTCAGCTTATTTTCTTTTGTTTATTTTTATTATTTTTATTTCACTTGATTATATATATATATATATTTTAATTTCAGGATTACTATTCTACAGTCTTTATCCTTCTTTCTCTAACGCTTTATTCTATCTCAACCCTACCTTTATGCCTTCACCCTCTTTCCAATCTTTTCCTTTGATACCCTGTTTATCTTAACCCTTTCCTGCTCTAGATTTCCCCCATTCCTTCTGTCTACCCCCTCCTAAAATTTCACCCTACTTGTATATATCTAATTTCCAACTACCTGCCCCAAACCCATTCACACCTCCCTCGCAGTTGTCCTAAAAACAAAAACAAAAAACAAAAAAAAAAATAGTCTTTCTCTCTAACTCTTTGAAGTTGTATGTTGAATGTTAACTTTACTGAAGTTGTATGCTTTTCTTTTATAAGATTGATTTGCCTATGCTTTTTGTTTGATTGTATGTTTTTGTTAGCTGGGTTCTAGTCACCCTTATTGGTGGTTATTAATAGCGCAAACACATTTCTATTCAGTGCCTTGTGTGTTGTACCTGGTTGTGCTGTATTTTGTGCCTTTAAATCAAAGCAGGAGAGAGAGAACTACACAACCAGACATCCTAGATCATGGGGAGACCAAAAAACAGCCCACATATGAAAAAAAAGCAGTCTTCACCAGAAAAGGAAGTAAACGACATAGAGGTAAGCAACCTACCAGAGCAAGAATTCAGAGTAACGATCTTAAGATGGCTAAAAAGAATGGAAGACAAATTTGACAATATGAGTAAGACCCAAGAGGAAATGAAAAAAACCCAAGAGGAAATGAAGATGACTCAAGATGAAATGAAAAATGACATCGCTACTATGAAGAACTCAATAGAAAGCATCAAGAGCAGACTAGAAGAAGCAGAGGATCGCATCAGTGAGCTAGAAGACAAGATGGAAAAAAATACCCAATTAGAGCAGCTTCTAGGAAAAAAAAATTAAAAAGCAGGAGGAGAGCCTACGGGAGCTTTGGGACAATGCAAAACAAAACAATATTCAAATAATAGGGGTTCCGGAAGGAAAGAAAACTGAGGTAGATATGGAAAACGTATTTCAAGAAATAATGACAGAAAATTTTCCTGAGATAGAGAAGAAAAAACCCACACAAATCCAAGATGCTCGCAGAGTCCCAAGCAAAATGGATCCCAGAAGACCTACGCCAAGACATATTATAATTAAATTGGCAAACACCAATGACAAAGTTAGAATCTTAAAAGCAGCCAGAGAGAGACAGAAAGTTACATATAAAGGAACCCCCATCAGACTAACAACTGATTTCTCAACAGAAACTTATCAGGCCAGAAGGGAATAGGATGAAATATACAAAGTCATGCAAAGAAAGGGTCTGAATCCAAGAATACTGTACCCAGCAAGACTATCAATCAAAATTGAAGGGGAAATCAGGAGCTTCACAGACAAAAAAAGACTAAAGGAATTTATCTCCACCAAACCAGCAATGCAAGAAATGCTAAAGGGTCTACTGTAAAAATAAAGAAATAGGAAGTGAAGAAGGAA